ACTTCCTTTCTTGTCACTCGACTCTTTTCATCTTTGTAACCTGAGTGGCTTACATATCCACTGTTAGGATGCAGGTATGACTTTTCATGTGCCCGCAGGTCCCAGTTACGTTCATCCGCCATGTACACAGGTGAGAACTCAAAAGTTTAGCTGGCCTCAAGGCTCCTGTTAGCAGACGAACCTTCTCAGTGACTTGGTTCGATATAGGGCACCATGACCCATAAGCTAAGAGATAAGAGTGGCTTTGATCACTTGCATTATAAATATATTTTTATGCTAGAAAAAGCGCATCTGATCGATGAAAAGAAAAATAATTAGGTCTTAAGTTCTTGGATAGTATTAGGACCTAATATGTTGTCTATCATTGTAACATAATTAGTCTCGCTTTCTTGTGCTTAGGATGAATGCAACATCATGCTGTAATGATCCTACATAATACATTTTTTTTGGGAGTTTCCATAACGTGATATCAACACTCTCTTCCTCACAATGTTATCCACATAAACACAGAGATTATCCACAAGAAGTGCAGTTTAATCGTCACCATTATAAGTAGTAAAAGGTAACCCAATCGATCCTATCTCCCTATCATTGGATGCAAGTTGCATGAAGCGTGACAAGAACAAAGGCACTAGTACATCGACATTGATATCTAAAAATGAGATGGTACTGAGAGAGAGAGAGAGAGAGAGAGAGAGGACAGCATTCACCCCCGGACGATACCACGCAGAACATACCACCAAAACATCCATTTCAATCCAAGAGGCAGTGGGGGAAACATTTGAATGCAAAGAACATGATCGAGCAAAGAGGCAACCCCCTCCCCACCACACACACGCAAAGGGTGGGGAAGCCATGCTTCTGTGGCTTGCAAGGACAGCAGGTCTTTATGGTGCCAGTTGCTACTGGTTCTGAGAGAGATGCATGCCCGAACCACCACATAAACTAGTGATGTGAATGAATGAAATCATGTGCCCCATTTTTCATATAATATATGAAATAATTGTTTGCTTGTCTTTATTCTCTCTCTCTCTCTCTCTCTCTCTCTCTCTCTATCACATATTAAACGTTGATGATAAATGCATGGTATATAACGTGTCCATAGGATTCATACAGAAAGGGAAAGTATGGGGCTATTATAACCCATTTATCCAAGGAAAGCATTAATAACTTTTATATATATCATTTTAAATATAAGTGAAACATATATGTAAAAAGGGTGAAAGGCATCTGCTTTATATAGAGCCCCTTATCTAAAGAAGCTAATTCAACTAAGCTTGCACGGTCATGCTAAGCTGCTAAGATGTTCTTATCCTGCTTATCGAATCGGCAACATTGGCTGAGATTACATGACACTTTGTCAAATGTATTCGATTTTTTTATTCATGTGAACTTACTGAACATGAAATTAAGGATTTAATATACGTAATAAACAGTAGCACCCAATTGAATGAAGAACACAAGTTGATTCCGTGTCATGTTCTTCTTCCATACATATCATCATCCTTTGGTAGGTATGGCCGACGAGCATATGATTTGTTAAGTACAATAGCATATACAATCCTAATGACAATATAGTTAAGATCTAATGGCATGCAACATCGAAGTTTATCAACAGTGATATAGGTGCGATGGCGGCCATCAAGAATTGGAAAGCAAACAATTTATGATTATATTAACCCTAGGAGGCGTAACACATCAAGTTTGTTCCTAGTTTAAAGGTACTAATTAAGGAGATTAGATGGTATGATTATGGTTAGTATTTGGATTGGATTGGTAATGTTAGAAGAGTTTGGTGGCGTATGCATGTCATCGATCGCTATCATGCATGGAAGCAATTGGATGGATGAAGGCATCAAACGAGAAGGCTGATAGAGAAATTGAATTGACTTATTTTGTTTGTGAAACTTTAAACTTGCGTATACGTTTTTAATTTTTATTTTTACTATATATATATATATATATATATATATATATATATATATATATATATATATATATATAATAGTAGGAGGACATAAACCCGACAATGCTTGTGAAGAATGCGAGCAATAGAGAAAGTTAGAATAGGAGTAGTGAACAGAGGGTGAGTGGGCTCATACGTGAAGGCGACTATGGGCACGATCAAGTACGCAAGCTAACCCATACGTGGAAGTGCAAATAGCCAAAGATTTACGACCACTTGTGACCCCCCCCACCCCCTTGCCATCATTTTTAATAGAGATGAGGTAAGGTAGATGACGATGTAAGATAGAGGTGCAAGTAGCCAAAGGCTTATGTTCACTCGTGACCCCCTCCCCTAATACCCTGTCGTCGTCCTTAGTAGAGAGGAGATGATGTAGACGACGATGTATGATGGAGGTGCAAGTAGCCAGAGACTTATGTCCACTCATGACCCCTCCCACCCTGTCGTCATCCTTAGTAGAGAGGAAGTGAGGTAGACGGCGATATATGATGGAAGTGCAAATAACCAGAGGTTTACGTCCACTCGTGAAGCCCCTCCCCTATTAAATCAATGTTGAAATGCTAATGATATCCTGAGATAACATTAATATTTGAGGATTTCTCATGAAAGATTAGATGCAGTTAAATTTTTTTTTTATCAAATATCAAATATTGTGTTCCTAAACACATCGTGTATTCTCTCTCTAATTATAATTGATATTATGAACCTCTATTTAAATAATCATGGAATATATTCTAATAATCGTGTATATAAAGGTTCATATTGATGGAGCTTTTTTTATATATATCTTATTTGACATTTTCATGGTGTATTTTCTTAATATAATGTATAAGATAATTAAATTTATTTTCTATTTTCTTTTTCTCTCGAGCTTAATTTTCTTATCAAGAGAGCGTTCCATTAAATTAGGTTAGGTTGATAATGTCAAGCCAATGGTTGAGCTCCATCATACCTTTGACAAATAAGATTTTCAATTTAATTTTTTCTATTTTTTAATTTTCCTAACACTCTAGTGACATAAGGAAATTGAATTTTAACATAACTCGTAATCTTAATGTAGTTCCGATACCAATTTAATAAAAATAAAAGAGGATATGGAAAAGAGTGATGATCGATGGAGAGATGGTGGGGATATAATAATACATAAAAGAATCCTCATATAATTATATATTATCCATAATTATAATTTCTCCATAGATCTGAAATCATAAATGTCTATCTATTTATAGGGATTGCGTGACACATTCTAAAGGTTGTATATTAATTTAGTCAAACGTCGATACACCTTCTCGTGATGACCCTATTCAATATAATCTTCCGCTGCATCTTTTTATTCTATCTCTTCAACAATGTATAGGATAATTAAGTTTATTTTCTAATAGATTCATCGAATTAGATTTAAATACTCTACCATCCTTCTAAAATAAACAAACAAGCTTTATATTTTGATAATAGACTTAATATTTTATTTATTTTCAAAATATTTTTATTAAAAATAATAAAAGATATGGTTACTTTTAATATAACTATTTTGTATATAAAAAATATTTTTATTTATGAATAATTAAGTATCACTTCGATAGATGTTAAGATATGAGAAAATTATTAAGAGACCTTTCAATACGATAGTAAGAGGTGAAATAATTAACGTTAGTGATATAAAGAAAGATAAAAAAATCTAAAATTTTAATAAAAATTTAAGTACTTTAAACGTAATTGAGCATATAATATTCTACATATCTCAATAACAACAAAAGATATAATCTATCCTAATTAATTAAAACTTTCGACTTTGTTATTATTATTATTGTACAAAATTAGATCTAACACGATGGTCCTCAAATAATTTAAGCATTATAGTTTTTTATCGTCCAACAATATTGCATGTTTCTCCTTCATTCTCGCAAAAAAAAAAGGTCAAAATCGTACCCTTACAAATGTATTATAAACCCTAATTTATGGTGTCATACTATTGATGATCTACCTACTCCGAGGTGGAGTTGGCTTATTCTCCGATTGCTAGTCTTATGCTTGTGTTAAAACTAACTATAAATTCCAAAGCGAACGTGATTCTTAGTTTCTCAATCCTAGCATCAATCATGCAATAAAATAAAATAGCAAAGAAGTCAATCGAGAATATTTCTTTTGTTGGATTTATGATTCGATTTAGCCATTTGCATGTGGGGAAGGATTTGGTGGACAGAAGACAAGACATAAGAGGAGGAGTAAGCTACACTACTTGCACTATTTTCCCTCAACCCATCCTCCCCCCCAAAGTTGTGATGACATTTTCCAGGAAGAACTCAATTTTCTCGGGTGGTGGTTTTAACGTAGAACACAAGCGATAGGGGAGGGGGATTGATAGACTCGGGTGTTACACGACAAACCCTAATCCTAAGCCTAAGCCCTGAAAGGCAATTCTAACATCCATGGAAGGAATAAAAACTATTAGAGATGTGTTTCATGTCTTTTTCTTGAGCTCACGAATCTTATTTTACAAGAAAGAAGAAGAAGAAGAAGATACGGTTCAGTGTTACGTGTAACAAAGCTTCTATTTTAACTAATAAAGTATTAAAACTACATAAAAGTAATAATAAAATATTATCTAATAAAAAATAAATTGGTAAAATAAGTTATCCTTTTTTTTGGGGGTATAATTTTGTTCTTTAAATCCTTGATTTATGAAAAATGATATATGGGGTTATAATGTTTGATATGAAAAAAAGTATTATGATTTTTTTAAATTTATAATAAGTGATAAATGTGAATTTTGATCCTATTATTTTGTGATAATCTTTACCCATCAGACTAGCTAAGCATTTTTATTTTCTATTATTTTATTATAGATTTTTAACAGCTAATTTGCCTTGGGGATTTATTTGCACACAAAAATCGAAAATTTAAAGGGAATATTCATCATTTTCTAACAAGTAAATGAAATTTCTAATGGATTTTTTTTCTTTTGCAAATATTAAATAATTATAATCGACTAGAGAGAGAGTGAGAGAGAGAGAGAGAGGGGCTGTTGCGTTCAAAAGTATCAAACCTTCTGTAACAAAGGAGGGGGGATATTTTGAGCGTGGTGCTTTATGAGGAACACAGACACCGACCCCCACCTGGGGCGGGAATTACGCCGACGCCCGTTCTCGGATGACAGCGAACCGGCGTCCGCCTTCTCCTCCACGAAGCAGCAGTCACCGAGCAGCGGCGCCCAGCAAAAAGCCTTGATTTGATCCCACCTTTTGTCTCCTCTCGACCACCCGATTAAGAAGACCCCTCCCCTTTTCCCCTCTCATGATCCTATACTGAGATCGATTAGCTTTCTATTGTATAATCTGGACGCTGAATCATTCAACCCTAGAAAATGAGTGAGGGCACAAAAGAGTGATCTTGAATTCAAAATGCCTTCCACCTCTCTGCATGCCTGTGTTGACAACCCAGCCCACTCTTCCACTGTCTCACCGTTTCAACGCCCCAACTCCGCTTCTTTCTCTCTTCTTTTCGATGTGTTACCTTAGTTTTCTCTGATTAGCGTTTGCGTCTCACCGAGTCGGGATCTTGACCCGACCCTCAGATCGCTCTCTTTACGGGTCTCCTGATGCTGGGGGTTGATTTGCTGAATGCCTTTTGATCTGTTAGCTTTCTTCGCTGCGGAGTTCTTCGGAGAATGGTTTTGGTCATCCATGAATTCGTGGGATGCGGGGTCCTGCTTTGCTTGTTTGAAGGCGTTTGATCGTTTGGGATCTCGGCGGTGATGATCTGGGAACCCAGTTGGACTCTTCAAGTCGAGAGATGGACCGCCGGAGTTGGCTGTGGAGGCGGAAGCCGTCGGACAAGAGCCCTGGCGAGACCGAGAGCTCGGGATCGGTCTCTTCGGAGATGCACTCCGGAGAACAGGTTTGTTCGTCACCCTGTCCTGTAGATGAGTAGAAATCTTTCTTTTGCTTCTCTAATCTTATCTATAGGCATGGCGGAGGAACCTGTGATTGGGAAAGTCAAAACATGAGTGAGGGTTCGTAGTGATTGTGCCTGGCAAAAGACGATGCCTACAGAACCAGAAGCACCAGCGTCGGATAATTGTGTCGTCTTCTTCCATGATATGCGGTTTGAACTGCCAGTGTTATCATCAACCGTTAACTAAGACTTTTCTGAGCTCTGGCTGAAACGTTCCACAACAGCAATTTTTGCGGACTCGTTTCCATTCTCCATCTTGATGTCATTCCTAGCTGTGACTTCCCTGGCCTTTGAGAGAGCTTCTTTTAGTTTCATTTTAATACGCTAAACGGGCACCATCGTCTTACTTTCCTTGTTGCTCATGGCTTAATTTTCCAATTTAATATCAGCCTCATTTTGTATTTGGTGCAAATTTATGCTGTAAAGCTTTCCCTTTTCTCTGCTCGTCGATATTCTCGTCTTAATGAAGAAAATATGTTGCCATCAAATGATACTAATTGTATCAGTTTATTTCTCGATATTTCAAATAGTATGTTTCCATTTTTCTAGGCTGTTTATTTTTATAAAATTTCCATCAGATTATCGAAAAATATTTTTAACATTTCATCAGAATCTTTTTGCGTAGCATGATTTTGGTGTTGAATATCTGTCATAAATCATGGATGAAGCGTTATGTGATCAAAAGTATCTCACCTTGCTTTATAAGTGCACTTACACGTCCTGTTTATCCATGCTGAAATCATTTTAAGTAGTTTCATACATTTTATCCATGATCAGCCCCTAGTTTCTCGTGATTGCCTGCACTTCTCATTTTCTTTTTTCTAATATCGAACATCCATGTCTTTTCTGTTGCCAACTTTTTGGATATGTTTTCTCTTAGCAACCATAAATTATTGGTGATGAACATAAATTTATGGCCATGATATGCACCTCCTTTACGGTGATCAAATTCACTTAATTAAGCAAACAGCTTTATCATCCCTGATTTTAGATAACTTCCATTGCTAAACGTATTTGAAAACCCAGATTACCTCCTAAGGATGTGGACTTGACAGGTCCTAGATTTCCAAGAATGTACAGGAAATTCTACTTCTGACCAAAATCTTTTAGGTAAAATTTTAAAAAAGATTTAGAATATGTATCGAAATTATGGCAGCTAAGCCTACACATACTTGGACCATGTGAAGGACTGATAACATTTATAAGCATCTGCTTTTCATAGGTTTCTCTTGAAGAAGTCTGACTGCTGAAGTCCATATTCTTTCATTAGTTTATCAGGATCATTCTTGGAAGAGTATGTCATTATTATTTTGACTATCATTTTTTCGAGTCTTACATGCCAAAAAATTTTAGCCCTGTTGGTGTTTGATCATGAGATAGTATTGTATCGTTTAGTTTGCGGCACGGCAACATACTTAATACAGAACGTTCACACTTTTGTCTCAGTAAGCATAACCGACAATTTTATGATCAGACAGTCTGGAACTGCAATTTTCTCCCCTTGTGCTATCATTATTTTCTATCCATATTTATTGCTACTATTTCCATGACACTTATTGAGATAATCCATCAAATAGGCTGGGGAATGTGCTTCTGGAAGCACAAAGCTGCTTTACATTACAAGAGGCATTCTCTACGTATTTTACCTTTTTGCAATAATTATTATAAACCCATCTAAATAACTCAATTCATTTATTTTATAGCAGGAGGTACTGAGGACTTCAATTAATTCTTCTCCAAATCATGTTCAATCACCAGAGGTTTCATCAAAGGATGTCAGCCATGAGGACAATGAAACTATAAAGCTTTTGAATGAGAAACTATCAGCTGCTCTTCTGAATGTTAGTGCTAAAGAAGATTTGGTGAAGCAACACGGAAAAATTGCAGAAGAAGCTGTTTTAGGTAAACTGCCTTGTTCAAACTTTTCTGAAGGATCCTTGTTCAAGAACCATAATTTTGTAGTGCTTTGACACAAGGGAATATTTGACATTTATACGTGAATTTGAAGCATCAACTCTAATATACTCCATAAATTTTCCTGAAGGATAGGTTTCGAGCAGGTTTGTGATTTAAGTGAGTAATTATTTGTTTCATTTAGTATCCTTCTTTAAGGTCCATTCCAGATAGAATTATTATTATTATTATTTTTTTGCTGCTGACTTATTGAAGGCACACTCAGTCTAAATGAATGTAAAATACAGCTCTTTTTTTCTGAGAGCATGCAGAGTGATTCAATATCTCTGACGATTCTGATTACTTGCAGAATTTAGTATGGCTCTTGATGATAAGGCTACCAGTATATTGCCATATCATTGACATACATTTTCGGTACTTTCTAATATCTGACACGCTTTAGTGTAACCTTTCTATAACTCACGTGTAGGTTTTTCAATCTTCCTATTGTTCTGCTATATTTTAACACTGTGATAGCTTATCTATGATTAATCACTACAACCTGTACCAATGTTTTTTAAAAATATTAAGTTCTAAATCACTCATGTGAATGCTTTGGTGCTATTTGTTTATCTGGTGTTAGACATGTTCAATTCCAAATCTTCTGCACTTAAATATGGATATGACAGCATATTTGACACAACGTGGAGCTTGGTCTGGAAAGAAAAAAGAAATCTATATTAGAGGAGTAAACAGAAGTGGATGTGTTTCAGTGGAAGACAGAATAACTATCTGCATTGAAAGAAATTAACTTGTTTCATTATTTCCTCTTGTACTATTGCCTGTAAACCTTCAAACTTTTATATGTTCATTTTTCTTGTTACTCTCTTTTCAATTAGTTTGACGATACTTAAAACTTGTTTTGGATTTCTTTTCAAGAATTCAACCTATTGACAGATATATGGCACAAAATATGCCCTGATTTTTCGATCATCACGTATGTTCTGTGAAGTTGCTAAAAGCTAACATGTAGCTGTCAATAAACAAGAACTAGGGACAAATAATATAGTGCAGAAATAGTTCAATAGGACTTCTTAACATGTAAGGCATCTCAGGCTTGGTCATTGTTCACTTTTGTTGCACTAGGTGAATATTCACATAATTATTTCATGCTACTGGATTGTCAGTTACATGATGGAATTATTCAACTTTCTTGCCAGGCTGGGAAAATGCAGAAAAGGAGATTTCATCTCTGAAACAGCATCTTGAAGCTGCATCAAGGGAGAACTCGTCCCTTGAAGATAGAGTTGTTCATCTTGATGCTGCCCTCAAGGAATGCGTCAGGCAGCTACGGCAGACAAGAGAAGATCAAGAACAGAAGGTCCACGATGCCATCACCAAAAAAACCCATGAATGGGAGTCTGAAAAATTGGAGCTCGAAATCCAGCGTACTGAGCTTCAAGCCAAGATGGAAGCTAAAGCTGAAACTACCACCTCTTTTGACTACAGGCTTCGCACAAAGATTGAAATTCTTGAGGAAGAAAATTCTGCTCTTAAAGTTGAACTTGATACGCTTACTGGGAATCTTCAAATGCAGACAATAGAGTTGGAGCTCAGCACCAGAACAGCAGAAGCAGCTAGCAAACAACATTTGGATAGCATAAGGAAAGTGGCCAGGCTTGAAGCTGAGTGCCATAGGTTACGAACTGCAGCACGCAAATTATCATTAGCTAATGAGCACAAGGTCATTTCTAACTCACTTTATGTTGAATCTGTCACTGATAGCCAGTCAGATGCAGGTGAACAGTTGTTAAGTCTGGATAATGAGCAAAGTTGTTCAGATTCATGGGCATCAGCTCTAATCACAGAGCTTGATCAGTTCAAGATGGAAAAGTCTAGCACGAAATGTTTCGCCACTTCCGTAGAAATTGACCTAATGGATGATTTTCTTGAGATGGAAAGGCTTGTTGCATTGCCCGAGGCTGACCATGGAAATTCTAGCACTGAGCATGATGATGATTTGGCCCATGCTTCCAACAGAGACAGCTGTTCAAGAAAACAACTTGATACCGTCCATCTGCGTATGGCTGAGTTGCAAGAGATGATTGAGAAGATGACAACTGTAAAAGTTGAAATGGAAATGTCTTTAGCTGTAACGAACAATCAACTGAAGGATACATGCGATCAGCTGGTAGCAGCTGAAGGTAAGTTGGTTGAGTTGCAAAGGCAGCTCAATTTGGTTAATGGGGAAAAACATGATCTTGAGATAGAACTAGAAGCAACTGAGGGAAAGAAAAATGACCTGGAAATTCAACTTGAATCAGCAAATATAGAAAATGCTAAGTTACATGAGAGAATAAACATATTAGATAGGAAATTTGCAGCAGAGGAGGAGTTGTCTGCCATATTGAAAGTGAGGTGCCAAAATATAGAGGTAACAGAATCTAACAGGAAGGAAATAGAACTTCAGCTTGAGTTGGCATATGGTGAAGTTGCAGAGTTAAAAGGAAGGATTAGTTTGCTAGAAGGAAAACTTGAAGAAGAGAAAGCTTTGTCCACGGAACTGGCATCTAGGTGTTGGAATATGGAAGTGTTGAAGGGAAAGAAAGAGGAATTGGAGTGTCAGCTTGAGTCAGCAAATTTGGCAATACATGAACTACAGGAGAAGGTTAATTCACTTGAGATGAAACTTGAGGAGGGTGAGACATTTTCAGTAGAACTTTTAGCCAGGTGTCAAAGTATGGAGGCCATAAATGCAAAGAAAAAGGAACTGGAGTCTCAACTTACTGGAAAACTATTAGAAGTAGGCAAGTTACACTGGAAGGTGAATATATTGGAAGGAAAAGTTGAGGAGGAGAGAGCATTGTCATCAGAACTCGCGGCTAATATAGAGGCCGTAGAGGCAAAGAGAAAGGAATTGGTGGTGCAACTTGAGTTGGCACATGTGGAAGTCGGGATCCTACAGGAGAAGTTGATCATATTAGAAAAACAAGTTGAAGAGGAGAGGGCATTATCAGCAGATTTTGCAAGAAAGTACCACCAGTTGGAGCATGAACTGACAAGCAAGCAGCAAGCAGCTGAATCGCATAGATCTACAAGCTCAAGTAGAGTGTTGAAGGCTAGACAGGTAACTGCAGTTGCTTTTTCTTTCCTTTAATTTTGTTCTTTCAGCTTAGTCTTGATGCCTGGTTCCTTGGTCATGTCGTGTCACCTAAAAATCCTTTTGACAACTCTTTTGTTGTAAACAAGGTGCAAACTTTGTTTCATTTAAGTTTCTCGCTTTTCTTGATTGTTTGCTGAGCATTATTGATTTGTTCACAGGAGAAAAATATTGCTCTGGCTGCTGGGAATTTTGCCGAGTGCCAGAAGACAATAGCCTCTCTTAACCAGCGGTTGAAATCTTTGGCAAATTTTGATGATCTCATGCTTGAAACAGAGCCAGGGTCCAATGCAGATCTATTGGGTATTAGAGCGGATTCTAGGATATTGGATCCTAGTAAAGAGAACAGCTTCCCATAGTCATCTTCATCCTCCTGGCTGGACATCCCATAAATTCCATATATCCAAGTAGAAAAAAAATACTCATAGAAACCAGTGAAATTGTACATTACTGAGGTGGGAGAAAAACAATTTTTGTGGAGTATGTGTCGACCATGTATGTAATAGAAATTGCTCGACGAACTTGACTTCTGTGTTGAGCAGCAAAATAGAGGAAACTATATGAAGATTATAGTGTTACTGCTACTCTTTTGCATGATTCCATCTAGCTGAATCAATGGTGTGATTTGCAATTTGTATTCGTTTACCTTCACCACCCTTGCAGTGACCAGAATGGAACAACAATGAGCAGCCACAGCAAGACACGAGTAATAACTCTCTTGAGCTTACTGGCACTAGCTGCAGCTGTTCATGTGTTCTAGTGTTGATGATTGTTAGTTGGTGTGTGGGTTGATTTGATGAGTTGCACTTATTGCTGTAGGCCGCATTGCAAACTTCTATTAATAGTGTCGGCTTCGATGGGTCCAGGTACAACCTACACCAGACATGTATCATTTTTGGCAATGAATGTACCCAATATATTATCCAGTTGGGTTCAGGTGAGGCAAGCTTTTGCAGGTTAGGGAACGGGAAGCAGCTTCCTGCACCATCTATTTTCTAAGCTATGATGGAAGAGTTTTCAGTAATAATTAGATGAAGTAATAATAATATATAAGAAGTAAGAGATATAAGAGTCAAGATGATTCATATCAAATCAAATTCGAAGATATTAGTATCGATCTTATGTAAGATGGTTTTTATCCTTGGATCATAAGAAACTTGGTTAAAGACATTTGATATATTATTGAGAATTCTGAATCATTTTTATATGTCTCATGTACATACAGAATGAAATAAGACTCTTAATTTTCTAGTAACATATATATATATATATATATATATATATGTATTTAAATAGGGGAGTGGTCTTCTCAGGTTTCGTGAGCTCGTCTTGTGTTTATGTAACTTAGTTATTATAGTTTTACTTTGGATATACATATATATACAAATATAACATATATATAATAAAAGTTTCAGCCAAACTCCAACAACGGTTCCATGGTGTAGTGGTGAGCACTCCAGACTTTGAATCTGGCGACCTGGGTTCGAATCCCGGTGGGACCTTTTTAATAAGACTATTTTTAAACTTAATTTGTCGTTTTTATTTTTTTCGGGGAAAACATATATATATAGGTCCTGTTGCAAATTTTCTCAGGGATATGTAAATACAAACAAACAAACAAATAAATAAATCTATATATTATATGACCATTCTCTTAGTTTTTTTTAATTTCTTTAGGAAGTATTTCTTTAATTTTTAGTTATTTAGTCATAGCTGATGCTGTTTATTCTTACTTCCAATTTTTTTAATATTAATAATAAAAATGGCTATTATCATCTGGTAACAATAATATTATGACAATGAAATTTAGTATCAAGCATTTCAACTGATAAAAATGAGAAATGGGGCGTTGACATAAAACAAAACTAAAAAAATAGGTCTTTTATATGGTTGGATAATAAATTTTGAATCATGAAGAAATTCAAAAAATAGTTGCAATGAATAATGCAATTTATTATTTCAAAAAAAAATATTATTTTACTTTATCTATATCATATATTTTCATCGGAAATATCGATTTATTGTTGTGCTCGTTTCATCCCGGTAAGTAGATGCTTTTTATCGCGACATAAAACGAACCATTACGAAATCGATCTTTTAAAGACGCCGATATGAAACACGTCCATATTTCCAGCGACACTCATCTCACGTGCTTCACTGGGCGGGAGCACCAAATTGCCCGATTCCAATGCTCCGCCGGAATCGTTTGAACGTCATTAATCTGATTGTCTTTACACTCGTAGCGAAAGTTAATATCCTCCAGACAATAAATTTAGAGAGTGCCGAGAGTACATCCTACCATCTCGCCTTCACCACCGTATAAATAACCGGCATGGCTCGCCGAGCAAAGCGGAGAGAACTAGAGGAACCCCAGCAGGCCTGAACCCTAGAAACCTTGACGTTGCGATCCCTCCCCGTGGCTTCTCATTCGGCAACCTAGGGTTTCTTATCCCAATCCGTCGGCATGGCCGTGCCTCCGGAGCGCGTCGTACAAGAGGTCGGGAAGAGCCTCGCGCGTCCTCGACTCAGCAAGGACTCTCTGGTGAAGTTGCTCAAGGTAACACTAGATTTCGTGAACCATGGGCCAACCGTGGACCCCAGCCATTCCTGTGTTGCATTTTCCGCTCCTTGATTGATTTTTTGTTCGTTGTTGAAGAATCGGTTCCTTTTGTAGGATCGTTTGTGCTTTTGCTACAATCTAGGCAAAGATTTGACTGATGGTACTCGCTTGGCTGTAGAAATGTCATGTGGGCGCACAGCCTTGCTGTTTCTTTGTGGTATCTATTGGGTTATTTCATTCTATTAGTTTCTTTTTTTGCATTCTGAGAAACTGTACACGGAATTTGGCTGATGGTACCCGCATGGGTGTTGGAATTTCATGTGGGTTCACGACTGTGGTGTCTAATATTATCGTACAATGTTGGTTTTGATTTGACTGTCTTATGGGCTTGATATAAGATAGAAGCCGATGCAATAGGACAGTCTTCACTGATGCTGAGTTGTCATGATGCTAGCTATTTTTGTTGAAGGGTTTTGCGACTTCTATTTAAAATAGTGGAAACCAAACTTGAGGTGAGAAATGAAACATAATCTAGGGGTAATCAGTGTTCCTACGTAACAAGTCACGCACAGTACGAAGTATGATAGGTTGGATGGTGATTGACCCAGATGCATGTTGAGCAATTTGTTTTAGAGGTACAGTGATCTAAGACAAACACTTTCCGGCTTGAAGGCATGTGGATGAGTATGATTTGTGGCAGCACATTGTTAGCAAAAGAATATGCTCTAGCTTTTTGACAGGTATTTTGGACGAGGTGTCAATGACTCTTCAGTGCATGTAACTTGTAAAATGTGACAGTTAAGAGAGAGAAATAAGTACACAAAGTAACAGTAGTTCATCAAGCAAATGTCAAAAGAAAATGGCGCAGCTGAAGAATGAAGCCCATGCGGCACAGATTGATATTTTGCAGCAGACCTATCTAGTCAAACATGGATTTGTGTTGTATCTAATGTCAGCCATCTAACATGTCATCATGTTTGAGGTCAGAAGCATTCTGTCTTTGTGGACGTTTGTGGCTAATAAGGGTTCAACGTAAGGTTAAGTGCTTTTTTAAGAACAAGCTGTTTCGACCATGGGCTAAATTGGATTTTCCTCACATGGGACATAATGCTAATTCTCGATTCGCATTATTGGCATCTAAGACATTAGACAACATAAACTACAACGATTGGATGCCTCCATTGTGGTATGGAAAAGGAAGGGGATAAAAAATCTGACGTTGGTGTGGCATCAAGGAGGCTTGTGTTTTACAAGGGTCTACCTTCCCATGTTTATAGAAATTATTTAGTAACTGGAAACAAATAAATTATCTTATTGAATTTCTAGTTTATTATTGACCTTCATTTTTTTTAAACTTCTATCAACAATCTCTAAGCCCCATCACCCCTTTCTTCTGAAAGTTTGAGGATGTGATAGGGTGTTACCATTACAAGGACATGCCTGTTTGAACCTGGAGGAGAGTTGTGTTGCAACATCAAATTCATGGTTGTTCATATGTAAGTCTTTTTAGACAATTAATTCCACATTCTGATGTGTCAGACTATGATGATACTTGGTGTCCTTTTCCTTTTGCTACTCCATTTGTACATCTACTGGAAACTTGTAGTTGACCGGAGTGCAATTATTCCTTTTTTTTATAAATTATTGCTACCTTGCTGCACTTTTCTCGATTTGGTAGTTGACAATTTAACATTAGGTGAAAGTATCTTGTGTTTGTTATTTTTCCAGTTTGATGTTTTCGGATTTCACCGTAATATTTTTTGCAGAAGTTTTTAACTTTCTGATTTTTCTCTCCCTTCCCTTCTCCCTGTGCAGGAGGCTGAAGACGCTTTATCGAAGTTGAATCAATCTTCTACTTTACAGATTGCATTAGGATCATTAAGCCATTCTCTTTCTCAAATTAACTTACTTCAGCATAAAGACAAAGAAGTTAGGTTATTGGTTGCAGTGTGTTTCAGTGAAATCATCCGGATCCTGGCACCTGAACCACCTTTCAGTGATGAGATATTTATGGTAATGTCTCTCCCCTGGTTACTTGTTTAATTATCAATTGCTTTTACATCCAAAATTTTCTCTTTGGTTGGTTACGGTGAAAAAAAAAGTTGCTTGTACTTCATTAAGCACTGATTATTGTGATTTTTTTAATGTGGGGATCAAAGGCATATAGGAAGATCTCTATGCAATTATTAGATTTGTAGAGTCAATGATTCTTCTAATTCTGTCTCACATGTGCATCTTATTTGCAGCACATTTTTAGGCTTATTATTGGTACTTTCATTGACCTGGCTGATACAGCGAGTCCCTATTTTACAAGGAGGACAAAGATATTGGAGAGTTTTGCTGCCTTGAGATGTTGTGTGATTATGTTGGACATGGGTTGTGAGGATTTAGTTTTGGAAATGTTCAAAGTTTTTTTCTCTGTTGTCAGGTATGTCTTTTTTGTACTTGAGAATGTTCTTTTTAAATATCATGCTCTGGAATAATTGAACTTTCAAATTTGAAGTTGTATGGCTTAATGCAAGAATTTTCATATTTTGTGATTTTTTGTTAGTGTAAACATTAAACTTGTATCTAAACTTAGATTTCAAGTTAACATGCAAAATTTTCTTTTTGTTTATTGGAAAACTATGTCAAAACAATGATTCTGCAGTTGTTTTATAAAGGGATCCAACTACAATGCTGGAATTAAAAAATACAGTTTATAGGAATCTGATCCTATATCGCAGTTTAGAGGCTGGTACTACGACAATGAGACATTAGCTTGCTGTTGCCCAAAATTTGATCCTAGATTATTTATAAAGCAAGAACAAATTATTCTACATGCAATGCTTACTTCCATGTGTTACCTTGTGTGCCATGTTGTTTCACCTTAGAGATGCATTAATTTCGTGGCTCACAATCATTTTTTTGTTGTATGAATGAATTCTAGTTGTTTTTCCGAATTGCTTATAGATATTTGTGTCATGAGCATTCTTAAATTCTATCTTTGACAAACTATAATTCCTATTACACAGAATGGGTTGTTTGCTTCTGATAATGGTTTGCTCAAAAGAGTCTTGACCCATCAGTGGGTCAAGATTTCTTGATCTGAACCTATCCTGTCTAGCAACTGGGTTTGATTGGGTTGGGCTGGTGGGTTTAAGACAAGTATTGCTTTATTTTGTATAAAAAATGTGAGGTTGAGTCAGTTTGTACCTTAATATCAAGGGGGCATTTGTTTCACCCATGATCTAACCCAACCCGACCAGTCAATGGGTCATCATGGTGGATTGGCTGGTCAGATAATCTGATGGGCTGAGAAGGAGATTTTGACTTCTGTTGGTTTTTTACTTGCAAGTGCATACATTTATCAGATTTCTTGATTGACTTTTTATTGGTGTAATAAGCACCCTCTTCTATTTTGATTCTGTCTTTAGCATGTGTGTTTTTATTATACTTTATGATTATTTAACAGATGCTTATTTTTAGCGGTTTTCTAATTAGTGTGCTTGTATCTTTTAGACAAAGTCATCAAAGAAGCTTGATCCAAGCTATGCTGTCTATTATGACACTTGTTATTGAGGAAAAAGTTACTCAGCCGCTTCTGGGCATTGTTCTGCAAAATCTAATGAAGGCAGACAAGGTTTTTATTCAAAAAAAATATTTTAATGCATTGTATCAATTGTGGTGCTATTTATTCTTAATCCAAGATTTTTTTTCATTTTAAGGTCAATTCTATGCCTTTCTAATGTCCAACTTGTTAACAAGAAGATCCTAAACAATGGTGATCCTGAAAAGATTTTGCTTGTAGAAGAAGAGAGCTTTTTACCTATTGCTTTTTTATTCAATCAGTGCAATGTTTTTCCATTTTCATCTTTTCTTCTCTGATTTAGTAGGTACTTGCTAGTTGCTAAACATTGTTCTATGGCAATATATTGAATATTTCAATATTATATGTCTTGCATAATGGTGTAGCATCAACATTTTAACTTTACACTGGAGAGGGTAGGTCTTGATGCAGGATATATTGCTGCTCCATTTCTGTCTATTTCACATGATAGTATATGCAAGTGCCTTGAAAAAGGGTTTAAGCATCTTGTTCTTCTTTGCTTTCATGTATATCTGACCAAGTTCTAAAACAGAGACATACATTTCTTGCTTGGCATGATGCGGAAATAAGGACCAGATTACCAATGTTTGCTTATGTTACAAAGGGTGGCACAGTGAATGAGGCACCGACCACTGGGGTTTTATGGAAGGTCAATGCCCAGTCTTACTCTTGCAAACGGAGAGCTTGTTTACTTATGCTATAAGCGACTTCTAAATGAATAGATGTTTATCTTTGAGGACCAAATCTAACATTGCAAAGAGCATGATGGATCAAGTGAGTGCGAGTAATGATGTTAAATTAATTTTACATATACTGAAGAAGAAAACAGTAGATCTAATGTTGCCTGAGAAATTCTGTAACATGGCACCTTTTGCACAATTGAGGAGTTAACTTGCTTATGTTGGTGGCTTTTAAATGTATATATGGTAAACTGGCTTGTTCTGGTAAATTAACAGTAACCTAAAACTAAAAGTATGATGTATTTTCCGTATAAAGAGGTTTCAGTATCTTGCTATTTAGTGTTGATCCACAAGGTTTCAATGCTAATTTTTTTTTATTCAGGTGGGTTGACTTGATAGTTGTTGTTTTGTCCCTTTCATGGGTAGTGTTTCAAAAAACCTCACCCAATATTGTTTTTTCTTATAATTAAGTGTGAGGGAAGATAGATCAACAATCATGCTAGAACTTTCAGAGTAAGATGTTCTTACGTATCCTTTTTGTTTGGTATAAATAGCCTTTCTCAAGATTTACATATTCTTTTCATTGATTTTATATTTTTATTTTTCATCTTGCATTATCGGGAACTAATAAATCTACGTTGGATAATTGTGATTGTTGATCTCTATCTATTTGTTATGGGTGGTTCATGGATGCATGTGGCTAGTAGATATCATTAAGTAGGGATTGTATCTCATTGAAATCCTAGAGAATGTTCTGGCTCACTGATCCTTTAGCCTTCTTATTGAGCAGTTAAAACAACATGTAAATGTAAGATGTATTTAACAATCTACATCTACTGACTTGCCCTAACTACTTATTCACAGGGTGCAGCCTCCAAACTTGCCGTATCTCTGATCCAGAATTGTGCTGGGAAGCTGGAGTCCCCAATTCATGGTTTTTTAACTTCCTGCATTTTTGACAATGATGCCTCTGCAAATGAATTTAAAAAGTTGTACCATGAAATTATATTGAAGTTATATCAATGTGCTCCTCAGATTCTTGTAGCCGTCATCCCAAACTTGACCCATGAACTACTAGTATGTACTGAGAACCACTGTTATATTTTCGCTTGAAGTATTCTTGCATCAGATCCTATTATAACCTGTGTTTTATTGGCAGGTTGATCAGGTCGATATTCGCTTAAGGGCTGTTCACTTGGTTGGAAAGCTTCTTGCCCAATCTGAGCTCAACTTCAGTCAGAAATTCCATACAGTCTTCGTTGAGTTCTTGAAAAGATTATCTGATAAATCCCTAGAAGTTCGAATTGCTGCAATTGAGCATGCTAGAGAATGCTATTTGGCTCATCCATTTGGCAGTGAAGCACGTGATATTCTTGGTGAGATCATATATCTTGCCGTTAAATTCTTATGCTAAATGTTGTATTGCAATTTTTTTACATCTCATATACTTGCTAGCAGCTGCACTTGAAGGAAGATTATTAGACTTTGATGATAAAGTGAGAACAGAAGCTGTGTTTGCAGTCTGTGATCTTGCTAAATCTAGCTTGACATGTTTTCCATCTGAGATAATACTACAAGCTGTAGAACGGCTTCGTGATAAAAAGGTTACTAGCTTTCAGTTCCTTCAAAATGAATCATCTGCGCTTGTGCTTTCTCACGTATTGTTCTGCAGGTTTCTGTTAGAAAGAAAGTGATGGAAAAGCTACTAGAGTTATATCGTGTATACTGTAGTAGGTGTTCTGAGGGGATCCTCACACTCAATGATCACTATGAACAAATTCCCTGCAAAATGTTACTTTTATGCTTCGACAAGGAATGCAAGGAATTCAGGTTTGACTATTGTCCTTTAACCTTTTTTGATTTGCTGCTTGAATCAATTTGTGTTAAAATGTGACAAGATGCCACAGGCCACAGAACATCGAACTGGTCTTTGCAGAAGATCTCTTTCCAGCATCACTTTCCATAAAAGAAAGGACAAAACATTGGATTGCTTTTTTCTCGCTTTTCAAGTTGCCTCACATAAAGGCTTTAAAATCCATCTTATATCAAAAGTGGAGGTATAAGCATGTCTGTGGTCTTTTAAGTTTTAACTTGAAAATGTGGTCTTCCATATGTGATACCAATTGTTTTCAGGTTGCAGATGGAACTGAAAGTATATTTTGCTCTGCGAGATGAAGAAAAGGTATTAACCACTTGGCAGTTGATAGGGAAGTAATGCAAACTGCATTTGCTTGAAAGTGTTAGCCTGTTAGGTAACATCTACCAATGTGCATACACATCATCTGTTTTTTGCTTTATTTTGAAATAAAGACTTGCATAAGCACTGGCTCTGCCATTACCATAGGTTAAGTTGGTTCAAATTTTTAGATTTGCCCAAACACATTTCAAAATGTCCTCAACGATTTTAGTTTCTATTTTAAGCCTGTGTATGTTCTATCAGCACTTTCAACAGCAAGAAATATTTTCTCCACATCTCCTGAGTTGTAATGTTATGGGACATAATGTGGTGTGTTATAGAGTAATCCTTTTTGTTTTCTTACTAGTCTTGAGCACTGTGGATATTACTTGTTCTACAGTTTTGATGGCTTTTCCTTGTTTACTTTCGTTCTACTATATGGCTTCACCTGTGTGTGCAACAGCATTTTGTCCTCTCTTTGATTAGATCACTAGCTTTTCATGATTGTTTTGCTCACTAGTTTGTCATTATGGAAGGTAATTAATTATCCATATTTTATTTTTAAATTAACAGTGAAAAGCCAAAAACTGCAAAAAACTTTGCTTCAGTAGACATTTTATAAAAGAGCAAATCATCTTCTGAGTTTTCTACCCTATGTTCTCATTCCTGTGACTTTGGACTTCTAAATTACATTAGAAAGTTATAACATAAGATCTTAGCCTTTGTATTTACAGACTTGATCTTAATCCTAGAAGAAACATTTCCCAGTTGAAGATTGTGAAACTTCTGTCATCCGATGTCTACTTTAGGTGTGCTATCTAAACTAGTGACATACTTCTTACAGCCAGAAAATAAAAAATTAGAGGCATGCTCTAAACAAGGCTTTGTTTTGCCTTTTTTGTTAAAACAACCTTTATTTTGATAAATATTTTTGAATTAAAATCTTGATTTTTTCTTATCACTTCTGAAAATATTAGTCCATGTTTTGAGATTGAATCCTCATTCTACACATTTTTGTTGACATCTGATCCAGTTCTTAAAAGTTCAAACTACTTGCATATGGGCCTTCTTGCAAGAACCGTTAATTTTTTATGTGCACTGTTGTGTTGCATGCATTAGACCCATTAATCTTTCATCTGACTTGTGTGTGATGGGTAGTGTATACGAGGTTGTGCCTTTTCCTACTAGTAGATCATGAATTTGAATCTTTGCTCTACCCCTATTTCTTTACTATTTCATCCAGTATTTGGTTGGAACATATTAATTTTTGTACAACTCTATTATCCTTTAGCTGTAGATTGTCATCTCTCACCAAATTCTTTGGTCATTAAGTGGTAATTTTTTTTTAAGTCTTAAAATGTTAACTATCATCTTTTTTGTTGATCATGTAAAACATAAGAATAAATAGCATATATCTCTTAATCTATGTGTCAGTTCTCCTTGTTTGATTTTGTAACATCTAAAAATGCACATGTCTAGCAAATTTAGTTTGTCCTCCAAAAAAGGTTTCTAGCAAGAAGGTTAACCATGCTGATGCCATCTTTTGTTTCAATTAGGGTACAAAATGATTGTTCTGTAAGGATTTCAATCATGGTTTGACTGGACTAGTGTGGTGTCTGTATATGGTATACTGACCCATAGCAGCTGGTATGCCACCTGGTATTTTTGTAAAAAAATAATAAAAAATAATACTGGCTGGTCCTGATCACTTTGTTACAAAATATTGATCTTGGAGCAAGATTTCCAGGAGGAAAAATTGCAGTATTAACACTTGGGTGGCATGCTTCCTAAGTTCATCTAGTTAAGAGGCCTGTGATGTCATCATTAGATTTTCTGTGGCTAACATCCATTTGGTGCTACTTTATTATTGTTGTACAATATAAAGAATTTTCATTTAGTATTTTTCATGAATTAGACAGTTTGTGCATGTTGTATATGATGATTGACCTGGCTTTATAAGAATATTAAGCAAAGCATTCTCTTCAGGGGCTATTTCTAGAAGTGGTACAAGTTACATTGTATTGTCTACTTTAGGCTTCGATTACATAACATTCATCGCTTTTAAAATGTCACTCTTATTTTCGTCTTTCATCTTTCACAATCTTGCTATTTACCTACTATCTTGCGTCGTTTCTCATACTTCTTAGTTCTTTAGTTTAGAGTTAAGCATTCTTCGGATCCTGATACTAGTGTGTAATTGCAGAACAAAATTCTTGATATGTTTATTTTAAATTGAGAAGTTACTGAATTAGTAGTTAAACACAAATTTCAGGAGAATGCTTCAGAAGAAATGCATATGAGAATTTTGGCATCATTTATGAAGATGTCTACCGCATTCCTAGATTCTTCTAAAGCGGTGGAGTGCTTTCAAAAATTGCATCAGATTACAGATAACAATATTTTTAAGTCATTGCTTGAATTGGTTGATGAAGACATGTCTTCTTCTGCTGCCTACTCTACTCGGGTATGATTTTTTTAAAGCATTCTTCATTTACTTATAAGTGTTGGAAATTATGGTAGTCCTTTGATTTTCCTTTTGCTTTGTTGCGTTAATCAGGTTTTGGTTGATTGTTAAAGCTGTTAAGAATGCCTTCATTTCATTCATTCACCTTTTTATATAAACTTCTTATAGTAGCCTTCTATGTAGCCATTAGGTTTACCTTTTTTCATGCTATACTTCCTATAGTCACTCAAGGTTGGTGGTCCATATGTTGGTCTTCATAGCTTTGTATCAGTTACCTCATCAGATGTTATTGGAAGCCATATTTTTATTGGAACACAAAGGGCAATGAAGGAAATCATATAAAAAAAATAATGAGTGGACATTGATTATATCATTGCAAATAGGAATGTTATGCAAAGTCAGTGAAAATATTTTTTAATGAAATGATTAATATGATATGTGTATTATAAATGAAATGATTAGTATGATATATGTATTGGACAACCAATTGATTACTTTTTTCATGTACTATTTTGCAAAAGAATAAAATTTCCATGATGGATGGCTTAGGCTTAAGAATGGTATTTAATTATATTTTATTATTTGGGTTGATGCATAGCTTTAAATTTTTAAACTAATATAAAACTTCATTTTATGATGTATCAGTCAAAAGCTCTCCAATTCGTCCATATTGAATAATAATTATTCCTGATTTGTCATATAGCATGTATGTCTGGATCCTTATATATATCTTTACTTTATAGCCCTCTGTTCACAGAGGTTGTTGATAAAAAAAATCATATTGTGGTGTAAGTTCTTTTATTTGCCACTTAGTTAAGATTTAAATTACTTTAAAGTGTTACTAGTCTTTTTATTCATTTGCATGGATTTATAGGTTTCATTGCTTAAGCAGCTTGGGGATAAACATCCAACTTATGATTTTCTTAGTACACTTTCCACAAAATGTTCGTATTCAATATTCAGTGCCGAGCATGTTCGTTATATTATGGAAGAAGTCATATCTGGAAACGATGATCGAACCAAGTACGCCCAAGTTTCTAAAGTAGATCTTCTTATTGTAAGTGCTTTCTTTATTTACTTCATGGGATGCAACTTTATGCATTGAAGTGATGTTTGTTGATAATTTTCACCAAAGCATGCTTACGTTTGAACAATCCATATGTATATTTCACATTTATCATGCTAAATAGAGTTAAGAGCTCTCAAATTTGGAAAAATCTTGATAAACAGTATATATTCCTCGATATTCATGTATATGCTTGGTAGCAGGTTTTCTTATTTAAGACATTCTTGTGGGAGAAGCCAATTAGCTGCAGATAGAGAAGACTTCTTCATTTCCTTGTTATGTTAAAAGTTCTTTCCTATTTTTGGTTTTTGATTGTCTTATGACAATGGATATATTTATGAGATTTTTGTCTTGCATTTTATTTTGTTATGCATTGTTTGCAACTTGCTGACAGTGATTTTTTTTGTTCACCGTTATGCTTTTAAACCTATATATTCATATGTTTACAAGTAGAAGTGATTTTTTCTAATTATATTGTAAAGTAGTGTAATTAATGCTGTTTAATTCACTCTATCTATATTTTTGAATAAAAAAGTCATGAAGCAACAGAGTGCACTAGATGTATGTCAAGTGCAGAAAAGTTTTATATTGAAATCCTTCAAGTTACATGATTTTTAGTTATGAATTTCAATATTTGAAAAGAGCAAGTATGTAGTTTGTGTTTCATTTGATTAGTCTCTAATTGCTATCTTCTCTTAATTGGAATGCTAACTCCATCCATCTCTTTTAACATGACATGACAAATATGAAGGTTGACAAAGTCCAGAGTATAATAAAGAAATACAAAACATTACTTATTATGAGTTGGTCATCAAATCATTATAATCTTACCATCATTAGCCTGTTGTTTGGTTAACTATAATCTCTCTTTCGCTCCTAATTTCTAATAAGAAGTTGGAACTGGGGTTTTAATCTATTGTTTTCCAATTTGAAGGGTGGTGGCTTACATGGCTTTATTTGATATTCAGGTGCGGATAATTGTGTATTTGATATTTTAGGCACCTGAGCTACATCTATCCATATCTGTCATGCCTCCATGTACAACTCTGTACTGATATAATTGTATCATGCGCAATCTACCATTTCAAAATCCATAGTTCGAGAGGTTGCTTTAAAAATAAATATAAAATAAGAATATATTAACAATTATGTTGAGTAGGAAGCTTTGAAAAATAAAAGTATTTTTTAATACTCATGAAACAATTTTAATTATTATATACTACCACCTCCCTGTGAAATGAAACTAAATCAGTTCTTTGTCATATTTTTGCATCAAATTAGAACTTATGAATCATTATAAAGAATAATAATTATTATGTAATAAATGAAATCATGCATCAATTTCGGTGCAATATAACACAATGTAAATTTCTGTCAAGTAGCATCCACATATAACATAGTTGCACATCGGTAATCCAGTGACACTGTCAACAGCGAATGAAAATACATTACTGCACTCTGTTAACCTTTCAACAATAGATGGAGATAACTCATATCATACTTCCAATGGCAAATGAATTGATATTTCCCATCAGTCATTGTGAGGATACGTATTAGTTTTTGTCAATTCTTCTCTCTATTTTGATTTCTGTTTTTTTGTCAACACCATTTGAGTGGGAAAAAGGTTTGGAAGCCTAGTATCTTTCATACTGTTTGCATGCTCGTATTTTTAATTCATGTAACATATTGCATTTTTCAGGTCTCCTCTCAGTAGTGTTGGCTTATGTTATAATCTATAAAATACTCTGTATAGTTAGAACAATGATGATATATATATGTTATTTTACTTCTAGTTCATGCTGAGTGAAATGTGGATTCTTTGTCTGATGTAGGTTATTTTATCCATATACCCAACATTGCTAAGAGGAGGAGAAGACTGTCTGCTTAAATTGTTTTCCATGAATGCTACATTGTTAAACGAAAAGTCTCTTCAGATTTTAGCAATAGCTGGTCGCCATGTTTCTATAGCACTCAGGTAACAATTTGAAGGTATTCAAGTATGTCATGGATGATCGCATTTGTTTCATGTTGTGCATATCCTTTCTTGTTTTATATTTGAATTAGATATGCAAAAAATCCTTTAAACTTGATTTATGAAAAGTGAGAATTGATCCACAGATTAATTGAAGGCTAAGTATGGTAGCTAACTAGTCAAATGAAGAACACTAGATTTTAGCAAGAGCATCAATGTTTCGAATGTCAGCTGCTGCTGACATCTTCCCAGTGTTTGCTCTAGCTTTCTATGTGCATAAGAAACATTCTGGGGCTTTCTGATTTAGTAACAATATTTAGATGTCATTGTGGCTGTCGAGTGCACTATATCTTCAGCATTTGATGAGAATTATTTCTTAATAATGTTCTGCATGATGTTGGTGTTTCTGTTGGTATACAAATACATATTACTGTTTTTTAGCCTTCTAGAAAATTTTCCTAAATAAGGATTTCAGTTATTTGTATTTCTTCAATTTATAATTTGTCAACATAAACTGAGAAAATTGATCATCCAATTACTTTGCTTATTATTTTGAAATGTCATTTCAAGATGCATGTTTCATCGAAATCTTATGTTTGCTTTTGATTAACATAAGAAACAATTGTTGAAGATCTTTTAATGTACCATTTCTGTATTAACCTTCATTTGCATTCTGTAAACCCTACTCTACCTCACGACATTTATTCGAATACCAGAAAGCTAACTTCCTGTAATCTTATGTTCATGTTCAGTGACATTTACTTATTTCTGGAACGGAAATGCATTGAAGGAACACGCACCGAGTCTAAATATGCTGTTTCTGCAATATCTTCTCTCATTCATGCTCCTGATGATCCTATCTTTTCCAACTTATGCCAGGTAATGTAACCAAAATAAAGAGGTAACGGATTATCGGTTATCATCCTCCGTGAAATTGAAACTTATGCAATGCTCTTTCAGTTTATTAATACTACATTCAGCTAAAAGATCCTTTTTTTCACATTCTGAGTTTTGATTGTGAATAAAAATTATCATGTCATGGCTGATTGGTAAGTCCAATGGTTGTGACATTCATCCCCCTTGTGGATTGTTGGAGTTGATTTTCTTTTATGCACAGTCAAAAAAGAAAGGCAGCTATGTATTAATTGTAACACCTCTGATTAGTCCCACATCGGAAGTGGGCAAGATTGAGATTGGCTTATAAGGGTTTGATAAGTGTACTACTATTAACTTCAACTTAAGCATTTTGGTCAGTGGTTAGGACCAAACGGAGTTATAGGCCAGTTAACCCATCAGACTCGGGCCATGACATTTGGTATCAGAGCCGACCTAGTATTTGGGCATGGTGAGGGGGCTCGAGTAGGAAAGGGCTACTCGTGGATGGAGTCAGAGTCCTGCACTATGCTAGGGTTTGATCCGGGTTATGCTGGGCCTTGACGAGGACGTCAAGCCTTTGAGTGGGGGAGATTATAACACCCCTGATTAGTCCCACATCGGAAGTGAGCAAGATTAAGATTGGTTTATAAGGGTTTGATAAGTGTACTACTATCAACTTCAGCTTAAGCATTTTGATCAGTGGTTTAGACCAAACGAAGTTGATAGGCCAGTTAGCCTATGAAGCTCGGGCCATGACATTAATTGTTTAAAAACGTAAAGTACAACAGCAGAAGGGAGTGGATGAGCATCCTGGGCTCTCCATTAGATTGAAACATTAAATGTTGAGCTTGATGTTAACATTAGATTGTATTATGGTGCTCAATTCTACATAAGCTGAGTGTTGCCATTTGTTAAGTCCAAGCTTTGAAAACTGTTTCTCTTGTAAAAAATGGACACTACTCTTCGGCTAAACTTGCTTTGTGGATGAGCAATATTTGTTTTTGCAGGATTCGTGATAAGTTTGCTGGTGATTTAATTATTTCTTTAAAATACATAATAAATGATGCCCTTGTAAAGCTTGGTAGTCTGTGAGGTGACTAATTTAATTCCAATCTTTTCTTCCAGAAAGTTGTGAACTCTCTGCATCATGGACGCCATATCCCGACTCTGCTGCAGTCTTTGGGTTGCATCTCACAGTATTCCCCATCAACATATGAACTATACAAGAAGCAAATAATGCAATTCATTATCCAAAAGCTTTTATGTTCAAAGGTTGTAATCTCACGTTAATCTTGACATACTCATCCTGAGTTGCTTATTTTATTAGAACAGGATTATAGGGTCATCATTCTTGTTCACCATATTAAATTCAAAGGTTTAGCTTGAAGCTTAGGCATTATTTACCTTTGATTCTATATAGGTGGACTCAGATCAAGCATCCTCCAATGATGGCGCTTTATGTAGCTTATCCTGCAAATTGAAGGTTTGTGCAAGATTATTTAGTAGTTTGTTGAATGCATGGATTGTTTCCAATGATTGAGTAGTATATTTGGTTCCACAAACTCTCAGGGTATTTCCCGACTTGGACTAAGATGAACTGCTATTGACAATTAAACAATTATTGTGTTACATTTAATGATAAAGTTGCTCAGGAGCTGGTAGATAAACAAATGGATTAAAAAACATATGTTATCAAGTCACTCACTGTATTGCTTTTTCCCTACTTATGTTGCAATCCTTTTTAGTTATACAAATATTTCTGTTCTTTGCCAGGCAACCTTTTCTCCTTAGATCATTGTTTTGTAAACTGTTTGGGTTGAGCAGATAAATCTACTGAACGGCTGACCTCTGGGCTAAGACTGTTTGGGTCACACTTGAACCCATCACCTAATAGAAAATCAGAATTTTCCTCAAACCCGTTGATAATACCAGTTTTAGATATTATGAATCATAATTACATATGATTTTAACCATATATATTTGGTATCTACTTTGCACCATTGTAATATAAGTATTTTACTTATCGAACACTAGCTTCCTTTGCAAAATAGGAAAATAAAGATGAGCATCCACAAATTTTGAAGTCGAAAACAAAGTTTGAAGTTTCTTTGAGATTAGTATTGTTGTTCGAATCGGTATGAGTTCGATACACACTAATATGTTGATTCATGGTGTGATGACTTGATGGTCAACTCAAGCCAAAGAGAAAGAGGGAGATAAGAGGGGATCAGTGTTTTCAAAAGGCGCTTAGGCAAAGCGAGACCCAAGCGCCTCGCAACACCTTGGGGCTTTGTCTCTCTCTCTCTCCTCGGTTCACTGATGCAACTTCGTCTATTTATTGCTGTAGCTTTGTCTGTTGTCCTCTCCAGCTTCATCCATCATCGGTTTCCACCTTCCTCCACAACTATTTGTCGATTAACTTTTGTCACCATAAGTATTAAACTATTTTTTGTGAGGGAGCAAATTAATACTTAATAGCTATTTAGTTGCATGCATTGCCTTCTAATTTTGGGACCTTCTTTGTGTGGCTATAACTAGATTGTTTGGGTTGTCAAGGAAAGTAATTATATACAACATAATATTTGGCTATAACTAGATTGCCTCTCTTATTCTTGCATCTTTGTAAACCATGAGCTGGAGACTTGTCATTACCAAGTTCAATAATTATCTGTAACTTCCCAAACTTATAACTATGTTTTCATCAAAATTGATAGTCCAAATATTCCTTTAAGCTATTCTAGTATCATGGTCCCTTACTTGTTTGTTGTGTCAAGTCTCCTCGAACTTGCAAACAAACATTTTGCATTGTAGTGAATAGTAGAAAATATTGTTGCTCATCCTATGATAATAACTTTTCCATCTTCTGATCAAGTTAGTGTATGGTCAATGCCTAGAGATTATACTTTTTTATTGGTTTCTCATTGTTCTTTTTTAAGTTTATTTGAAGTATGGAATTATACTTGAACAACTAAGTCATGTTTCTATCACTAATCATATTTTACTAAATCATATAATATGAGATTTGGTTGGATCTTGTATGATTCCTTTAGATGTACGGGTTGAAATCAGTGGCCAAAAGTTTTTTGCCACATGAAGTGTCACAGATCCGGCATGAAATAAAAGAATTCTTCAACATCCTGTCAGACATGATACTTGGAATTGGAACCATCAATGAAAATATTTTAAGGTAAGAAGCAGCAGAACTCAAGTATGATTTTCCAGATTAGTTTTTGTATTCGTCATTAATTTTGTGCTTCATCAAACTTGCTGTTGTAATCCTTTTTACAGTAGTTTCTGTTTTCTCTTTGAGTGTCAGTTCTATTGAATTTTTTGGAATGTTTCTAGTGATTAACCAGCTACTGGTCTGGCCAATAGTTTTACCAAGTATGCTGTTTTAGCCCAGGGCTACACTTCATCCTCTGGACAGCTCGTCTTACCTTTTCTCTACAATGTTTGTTTTCTCAATTTTTTTGTACATAAGCATTCTTTGTATGATTTTTGGATCCTTATTGTGAACATATATTTTATATGACAGGAAATCCAACTGGAGATCAGACTCCTAGTAGTCATCACTAAATTCCTGTGTCGTTGGTTGCAGTGTATAATTTTTAGTTTGAATCAAGGATTCATACCAATCAATATTTACTAGTCCAACAATGGACTAGTATTGGACATATGGTCCATTACAGATCATTAGTATTTTCAACTTTTTTGGTACTGGGTGGTATAAGTCGGTATACTGCCTGGTACACCATTATTGTACTGGTCTAGTACATTGCCAAACTTGGTATTGAACCAAGATTTATAACATTGATTTGAATTTTTATTCATGACCATTAAGCCAAACTTTGAAGAGACACCGTCCATGAGTAAACTGAAACTAGTGGACTCAAATGAATGCCATTGCCAACCTGGAAATCTGAACTAGGCATGGCGTTCACATATTTATTGATCCAGAATCTATCATGCAGAATGATTTGTCTCCAAGTTATTAATGATGATCAATATTTTTTATACTGATCTTGTACATCAATTCTAATAAATATCAAGAATTACAATTTCAATTCGTATATGTGTACCGAGGAGCCCTGCTCAGTACGATATGTACCGAGGTATATCGACAGTACGTCGAGGCTTATTGACAGTACACCTAAAATCATAAAAAAATCTTCAAAAATATCTGAAAATTTAGATTAGAGTTTTTAAGTTAAAAATAAATATAAATTTAGTATAATTTTAGCAAAAATAATGTAAATTGATTTAATATCAATCAAATTTTGATTAAATCATCATTAAAATCATTAATCATTACATTAACAAAACTTAATTAAACTTATTATACCATCACAAACATATGATTCAATTCTTAATATGCATAAAATATAAAGATCTGACCTATTGAGTGTCTAATTTTGAAGAAATCAATATTAAACACTAATCATTGTATTAAAATTCATAATTATTCCTTAATTAACAATATTCTATCATCAAAAATATATCAAACAATATATTAGACATTAAGTCATATACCACATAGAATAGGCTTAATCATTTCATAAATCAATAAAAAATTAGAAGGTGGATATATATCTCTTGATTAGAGTGTTTTTCCTTTTAATCCTCCTAAATTTGATTCAATCCATAAATTATAGTTTTGTTGAGTTTAGGAGAGTGAAAATGTGAGAATAAGAGAGAGATGTGAGTGAAGAAGATTATGAGAGAGTGAAATAAGTTGAAAGAGAGAGAAGGAAAGAGTTTAAAAACCTTTTCTAAGCCTCAAACGGTTAAATTGACCGTTTGAAATAGGGCAATATTAGCCCTTGATCAGTAATGATCGAAATCCGACTGTTACCGACTAGTACAGATCAGTAACGATCAGATTTTGATCGTTATCACTCGGTACAAACCTCGTATCGCTCGATATGAGTCAAATAATTGGTACCTCTTGGTAGAGGGCGGTCCACGTATTAGTATCTTGTTGAACCGGTGCGTACCGCTCGTACCAACTAGTATGTATCGATACAGCAAACCCAGATAAATATTAGATATATTTCTATGTAGCTTTTTTTCTGATGAACTTGGTAGCTTTCTCTTATGTTATCCGGTGCTTATTTAACTTTCACTTTCTTCCTATATTATCGATATATTTCTATGTAGCAAACCCAGACATTTTTTTTCTTTGAACTTTCTTTGCAGTCAAAGTGACAAGGTTCACCTTAGATTAGCTGCTGCAAAATGTATTCTTCGACTTGCAACAAGATGGGACTTGCATATACCACCAGACATTTTCCATTTGGTTATAATGAGTGCAAGGGTATGAACAACTTACTGTGTATTTCATGTTACAATATTTGATTCAGCAGATCTGTTACACCAAAAATTAGGCAATAGATATGGATATGCATCACACTCTCTTTGACATGTGAGATGAAAGCAACTTTACTCTCTTACGGCAAAATGCTGTTGTGATGTGATTAGTCATCTTGGAGATATTCCATATCCTTTGTGCATGGTGGAATCATATTAATTCTGCAGAAGTCTTGTCAACACAAATTGGCATAATTCAAGACAAGGATTAAAATCTCAATGTGATATTGTTTCAATAATTTGGTGTGGTATAACATCCAAACTGGTTGCAGTCATCCCAAAAAAATAATAAAAGTATTATTTGGTACAGGACCATGTACTCTCCATGGACCGGTAATTACTGATTGGTACATGCCATACCATGTGCTAATTGGTATCTGAAACCATGTTCAAAATAACCATCCTAGAAAGGTATTAGCACACAACACACTAACTAATGCCAGAGGTGGGCATGCTTCCCGTGACTGTATCTTAAGTGGAAAGTATTGTGATGATCCCATGCCATTGGACATCAATCCTGATTCCATATACTACTGATCAACATGTTGCTGGTTTCTGATATTACTAGTTTGCAGTTCTACCATGTGATGTATCTGAATTGTACTTCATGTACCATAATTTAACATTGTGTATTTTCAAGGTTAATTTTTCAAGGATGCTTTTTTCTCCATGATAGAAGTTATTTATTTAGTAATATATCTAATACAGTGTGCAACTGCTTATTTCCTTTATTGATAGTACTGGAGTGATGTAGCTTAAAGCCTTAAAGTAATGATCATCATTGGAACTGTTGTGATTTTATTTACAATATTGTAATAGACATCGTGTTTTTTTTTTTTTTTTTCAATTTCTGGGAATTATTAGAAGTTTTGTAAACTGTACTGTCTTATGCTGGCTCAATACCGGCAAGGGTTCTGTGCAATGCCTAGGATTGTGTACTTCTATTCTTATTGTGTATCACTCTTAAGTTATGTGGACTGAGATGCTGGAACTAAATGTGCTTATTTCATCATCATCATCAAGTTGTCCATGCACTAGTTTACTGTTGCTGTTTTATTTTCTCGGTGCTTATTCTCTACGAGAGCCCCTCCTGACATCTTCTCCTTTTGCATATCTTTTAGCAGCCTTTCACTAGTCATATATCCTGACCACTGTTAACCTGTTTGGAGGTAGGATGGGTTATTTATGCAGAGTTTAATTCATGTATATGTAGCTAATTTACATAGACATATATATATTTTTCAATGAACATGGTATTAGGCCATACCAATTTTCAGAACCAGTGGTTTTGGTTCCTATTCCCCAAAACCAGGAACTGTAATCGATCTGGAAACCGCCAATTTTTTTTATTATTTTTAATAAAAAAATTAAAATATAAAAATTCATAAATTTATTTTTAAATAATGAAAAAATAATTTAAAATTATGGAACCAGTGGTTTGAATCGGAATCGCTGGTTTTGGAACCGACGGTTCTGATTTTCCAAACCTAGGAATCGAAATTGAGTCGCTCTATGTCGGTTCCAATTTGGTTTGGAATCGGTGAATCGTTGGACTGGTTCGGTTTTGGTTTCGGCCCGGTTTGGTTCCGATTCAATTTTGATTCGATCCGAACTATGGTCAGGCCTACATGGTGTACGAATTGCAAGCTTTGAAATTTGGATTTTTCTTTAAATCCTGGCATCCCTCTTCTAGATCCACCAAAACTTTCTTATTCTTAGTTGAGCCTCATCTTTATTTACTCCTTTTATGTTCTTAACCACATTTCTCATTAGATTGTGAATTCTATGGTGTCCAGGATCCTTCTTCAACTGTCCGCAAGTCATTGCTCTGTAAGATACATAAGCTACTAATGGAACAAGCTATACCGGACAGATATGCATGTGCTTTTGCATTCACTTCAGTTGATTGTATTGGAGATATCCGAAATGATGTAAGTTCTCTATTTTATGTACACTAAACATGTTCTCTCTCACTCTATCTGTGATTATAATATAGTCAGTGAAGTTCCTCACTGTAAATATATTTTCTGTCTGGCTTTATCTGTGAGTATAGTACTTCTGATATTTTTCCTTTTTTTCAGTCAGTGAAATTCTTCACTGCATTCCTGACGGCACGTAATAAGAAATTTCTTATCAACAAGAATGCTTTAGCACAGGAGACAGATGGAGTAGCAATCACAAAACATCCAGGATATATTGTGGTTTTTGTAATCCATGTTCTTGCTCATGATAAAAACTTTCCTTCTGATAATTGCCAAGATCAAGATGTTTATGCTGAGTTTTGTAGGTCATATCTATCTTCATACTTAAAATTATTTCTGTTTTGATTTTTATTTTAGAGCTATGATGTTAAAATTTAGAAATGCTGCAATTCACTTCACACCTTATTTGATGTACTTTCTTTTCCCTGGCAGTCCGCTCATTTTCATCATACGTGCTTTACTGAATTTAAATTGCGGCCGTAGCAATCAAAATGATGCCAGTTATATGGCATCATATCTACTGGGCATTTTTCTTGCCATTCAGAAAGCTGATGATGCTGTTGATGCTAAATTCACCCCTGTATGTTCATGTCTTTCTTGTAGCGAAATTATTTTCCTTGTCTCTTGTCTTTGCAGATACTGGTTTTTGGTTTAATTTGTTTCCTGTTACAGAAATTGCATATTCTCTCAAAAATATGTTTGCTTGCATTAAAAGTTCTTACTCAGCATTGCAAGTCCCCATTGGATGCTTCCCATCTCGTCTTGCTTCCATCATCATATTTCAAGGCTTGCCATGATGCAAGGAAAAAAGGAGTAAGCAGAACATGCTTGTGTCATCATATTTAATTGCAGCATTCGATAGGTTATACCAGGTGGCATTTGTTTTCTCATGAATTTGTTTGACGTAACATCCAGGCATCTCTTCACGTTGCTAATTTCGTGGATAAAAGTTTTGTGAGGAGGATCCTCTGTGCATTTGACTCTTATATAAACCAGGTGGCTTATTGTTACCTTTCTATTTTTTCCTTTGTGTATTTTACTTCAAAAACAAGGATTTAAATAGTGGTCTGATTCTGGTTTTGCAACTTGTTGGACTGGTAGCGTTTTGGTATATCCATATGGTATCACTTAGAAAATAGTGAAAAATAGATTTCGGTTGGTATTTATGGTTCGGTATGGACCTTGATCGGGCTGCTAAACACTGACCAGTATGTACCAAACTGACCAATATACAAAAATATGATCAGAGCAAGTTTATACAAGCATGTTGTGATAAATGATTTTAACCTGTTAAATGCATTTCGTTCTTCTCCACTTGACAGGCTTCAAACTCATGTTCTAAATGGAATCATAAGGTTCAAGATGTTGGCGATTTGGATGTTATGAAGAACATATCAAATGCTTTAACCATGGACAGACAAATTGATCAATCACATGGTAAAATGAAGAAAGAGAAGGATAATCTTCATCCTAATACAAAGAGATCTCAGAAAGTTTGTTCTGTGAGAAGTCACATGAATTCTGTGTCACATTCTTCTTCGATGTCAACAGAATTGGTTCATGGGGTAATAAATTTAGAACCAGTAAATGCTGAATATGAAGAGAGAAAAGAGCAAGTATCTTCTTCAGATTCTGTTAGTATCTGTCTGGTGATTCCAACTTCACAGGTTTCTACCAAGGCAGTTGCATTAAAAGGATTCATGCCTTCAATGACTAATGAGAGATGTGTTACAAACGGTAGCAGTACCTCTCAACCTGAAACTTCAAAAGCAGATATAGAGTGTCCTCTGGATTCACAGGTATTTGTTTCTATAAATATGTAAGTAAATATAACATTATTTGTTTGTAAATATAACATTATTAATTTCACACTTTAGCTTTCTAGCTCTATTATTATAAATTGCATTTATGTCATTGTTGATAAAAGGAGCCTGTCAGTTTGGATGACACATTTGTTAAGAACAAGATCGGACTGTGATCCCCAATTGATTTATGGCAAGCTCTCTAATTTGAGATCTGATTACTATTAGTTTTTCTTATGAAAACAATTGACAATTTCCTTTATGTCTTGGCTTATTGCAGTTATAATATGGGTACTGTTGATTCATATGATTCTCAAAATAGTAAACGCAAGGCAGGATCTCACAATTTAAAGAGTTAGATATAAGATCAACCAGCTTCATCATGATAATATTTAAGCTTATATTATGAATTAAATATCGAGTTTCCAGTATTTTCTACTCCTTCATTCAATAATATTTTGGCCTCTGTTGTTCATATTCTCATTTCTGGCTAATTCGACTGGTCCCTAGTTTACTTACAAGTTCGTCTAGTAACAAGTCTGATTACTGACTAGATATAAGATCAATGTTTTATTGCTTGCTAACAAGTTCTGTTCTCAAAATTAAGTTTTTTTATATCGGACTGCTTAACTCATCCATCAAGAGAGGTTGGTCTCTTGACTCAATCCATTTAACACCACCACCACCAGTCTTTATTAAACTTCTTTTCCAGCAATGAGATTTTAGAAAACAAGCCTAGTGACTGGGTGGACTAACTGTTTTAAACATGCAGAATCATGGAACTATACTCTAAATTGTAGTAATGGACATATACCATTTCCAGATTGCAAGCCATCAATTTGTACTTAGGTCTATATTTTCATAGGGTTAACATTTGGTAGTGCCAGGCTATGGTGCATCAACAAAGCCTATGTTACCTTTATGTCAGTATTCATCAACTCCATGGATACGTTGGCTTATAGGAACTCAATTGAAAATTGCTAGTGATAGTGACATGGTCCTTGGTTTGTCGTTACCAACTATAACTGATTTTTGAAGATTCCTAGTCAGAATAAGCTTGTCTCACCTGGGTCGACTTTAGTTGTCTTGAAATATGTAATTTAGTCTGTGAAGACACCAGCATGAAATGTTATAGTTTTGCTGAATTGAACATAAACACATCATTAAGGATTATGACTTGAACTAGTTGCAGAATAGGGGTTTCAAATATATGGTTAAACAGCCAATCTAGATAAAATTTCTTGCCAGGGAAAAGAAATTTATTTAATGGGATGTTTAAGCAGCCAATCTAGATAAAATTAAATTTTAAAAGGATGTTTTTTTGCCATTTTATTTATTTAATGGGCAACTGGAGGCTTATTAATTTATGTTTAGGTTGATTAAGTGTGATTAAGGCCTAATTGGTGGTAATTGAGGAATTTAAGCACATTGCACCATGATTTTTTACTTTTGACATTATTTTATAGGTCATTCTAGCATGTATTAGCCAATTTTAGGCTTTTTATTGCATGATAAATTTATATTTATCTTTATAGTTCATTCTTATTGAAATTTAACCTACCACTGCATTATAGGTAATTCTTATTTAAATTTAATTTGTATACCAATAAATTAGGATAAAAAATCCCTAAAAAAAATATATATTTTGCTTCTGCTGATTTTCAGCCCTTCTTCAGTTTATCTATATGTGCCAGTGTATCAAGACATGGTACACTGCTATGGATAGGTATGTATTGGTCTTACGAGGGACCGCAATGCTTGGTTGGCCATGTAAGAACAGCAAACCATGGGCAGAACATGGAGAATTTGTATAGTGGTTTGTCCATGTAATTACTACTGATTGGCTTTTTGCTGATCTGGCATCATACAAGCCTAGCCTTCCTTCTGTTGCTCATTCCCACCAAAAAGGCGAATCTTCAGAAAAGAAGAAATACAAGAAAATTTGACAGACCACACTATAGCTGTCAACAATGTATTCCCACCAAAGAGAACGGCGTAGACCTCTTGCAAGAGGGGGAGTCATCTGGTTGCTTTTATTATTTATTGTCTTCAAGGAGAGAGGTCCATTTTGAGATTGTGATACTCTTGATAAATCTTGTTGGTGATAGATGCATGTCTGGTGCTTTGCTGAACTGTAGACAACTCCTATGTGTTCTGTATGATTCTTTAAGATAGAGAGAGAGAGAGAGATGGGGACTCCTTTATTTTACTGCTGCTTTTGGATAATAAGAAAGGCTAGTGACATCATAATGAATTATGATGATACAATTCTTTTAGAGTTTAGATAAATAAGAAAACAAATATTAGTTAAAATTCTTAGATAAACTAAATATTAGTAAAAAATCCTTGAATACATTTTATGTTCAAATGTTAACTCCTTCAGATCTACACTTCCATCACTGATCAAATGTCGTCTTCTCGATTGTTGTATTTGTATGATCTCAGTTAGAATGATACTGACAGTTTCATCTCAAGACTGTTCAAACTGATTGAACCGTGCATTTAGTTTGGTTCATTTTCTGGTTTTTTTAGAATACCTAACCAATACTTAACCAAAACATTTGGCTTTTTCATCTTTATAATTGAAACCAGTCCGGTCTACCCTCCTAAGGCATGTCACATGGTTGGCATCATGCTTTGTTGTAACACTAGGTACATACAATTAAGAAAACACATGAATGATTGTGCTTAGTGTGCAGCGAAAGGTTCTTGTTCAGATTTAGTTATTAAAATTATGTTTTTTCCTGAACTCTGATCTGTTGATAGATCTTTCTTAATTTGCATAAATTTCTTTGGATGGATTACATAAACATAGTTCTATACTGACTTGATGAAACTTACATTGAACTCGCAAGGTTGCCAATGATAATGGTGATGTAGAGCTTTTGGACTCAGAAGATAAGACTTGGGAAGCCATCAATGAAATGCCTTTGCTGGATAAGGTTTGTGTGGGATCATTTACCTTATACCTAGCTCTTTGTGTTATTATAGTTGCTTGCTAAATTCAAATAACCGGCTTGCTGCAGGGTAGATGCAACATTCAACCTGAAGAAGGGTGAGTGAGAAACACATCCTTTTTCATCTTTTAATTAAATTATTATATTTCATTATTAGTCTTCATTATTTATAACTAGAGAACATAGTAGGAAGGAAAAAAAATGTGACAGATAGGGGATCAAATTTTATGTAATATACAAAAGTTCTAATGTCATAGAATGCGATGGACTGGAAGATAGATCATATAAAGCCACAAAATAGGGGGATTTGACTTCTGGACCATAAAATATTGTGATTTAATGATTGGTCACTGAAATTTCAACTTTGTCTTGTCTTGTTTGAAATTTTAGTTACCTATAAGCCTGAAGGGAAAACCATAAATTGGCCATGGTCAGTTAAAATTTCCAAACCAACCAGGATCAATTAGATGTGGCTAGCACTTGGCTGAAGTCTATCAGAGTTGGTCAAAAACATTTGGACTTGCTGCAATCACTTGGAGCTTGTTGGTTTACGTAGGACTGTCTCAGCTATATTCAAGTTGAAGTTGGAATCATAAGGATTCATTTAAATTCTAGTTGATTTCAGTAGTCATGGTTAGTTTTGGTCAGACTCAGTTGAGTCTAGCTGATACTTCGAAGAAATGGGAGGTTTTGGTGTTTGGACCCTGCTAATCTTAACCTCGACACAAATAGGTTTGATGCTGCAAAGCATAATTTATTAACCCATGGTCACGAGTTCAAATAGAATGAGTGCCTAAGGCATACACCCTCAATCTTGTGTATAGAATTGAGAAACAAGAGTGATGTTGGTTTGGGTATGAGCACATAAAACTTGGTTAATAGACATGTCTTACTCATCAAACAGAGAAGTTAACCTTATCCACTTCAATACTGTTAATTTGCTTTGTTATCATAATAGCTTGTGCTAATGAGCCCAAGTTGCTTGGTGTGGATGGGTGGGATAGTGGAGTTATGCTGGTTGGCATTTCTTTCTAGAAATGAGCTGTATTTAACATTCCCAAATGTGGACATAAAGGTTTCCACATAAATTTCCATGTCATCTTCAATGGTTCCTTACCATATATACTTCTTTGTTATCTACATAGAAGTTTGGTTTCGTAGACCATAGTTCATTCTTTAGGAAAAGGTTGCCAAAGAATGCTGTCTGATTTTGAATCTGCAAAATCACCCCATGCAGATACTTCTATTTTATGGTGAGAAGGATCTATTCGTAACCTTGTACTTTCTGTTCTGATTTTTTAATTAGAATACTTCTAATTTTTTTAATCTAATTTGTTTAGGTTAGATTCTTCTAGCTGTAGTCCTGAGGAAGTGATTCCTACTGCCGGAGATGACAGTGATAAAACAAATCCCGCTGCTTCAGATGAAAGAACAGAAAATTGGTGTGCAAGCACGAACTTGTCATCTGTTGGTAATGCCATTTTAATAATTTGCATGCTTATCTTTTTTTTTTTATCTTGTTGGTGTCTATGTATTCCCATGGATCAATTCTCTGGTTATCACTAGTGAAATCTGGCATTGAGAACTGACTACCCAGAAATCAATGTGTTTGCTTCATTGCTTACTCCTTTGTTGAAGGATCACACATATTCAGCTTAAGACTGTAAAAGATGGGTTATACTCAATAAAGTAAAGAGATGAGAGAGTGGTGTTAGAGTTTTGCTTGCTGCTCAGCAACTTTAATAAAAATATCCATATATTGAAGGTGTATGTTTTAAAAACTTCTAACTACAAGGTGCAGTTTTTAGCGTCAGAGATTGATATTCTGGAATTAGATAAGATGATCATGTTCTTTTCTCCTTTCGAAATGGTTTTTGTGTACCTTAATGAATGTTGAAACGTGCTACTGATAGATTACAAAGAAGCACAAAGTTTTAAGCTAATAATGTGTTCTAGGAAGGAGAAAGAGCTAGTTATTGTGGATCCATTTTAAGGAATTACAAAATTTCAAAAGCAGTCTTCTTGTTATGAGTGGTTACTGTGTTTCTTTGAATTTTTTCTGGGGTACCATAGCAAGTTTTTACAATTTAGGAGCTACAGGGTTAAAAGCTAAAGCTCCTTTTGCTATTTAAAGGTTTGATCTACACCTCCTAGATAAAATATTGTCTGGAGAAAAATATTGTTTAAACTTGTGCCTAGGAATTCTTTTTGTTTATATTGGGTAACAGAAGATAAACGACAGAAAATGTGCATTATCTAAAAAGCAATTGCTTAAGATTATTTTTCTACAGGTGCTGGCAAAGGAAACAAGAGATTGCTACCAAGAAATGCTTCAAAGAACTCTTTGTCAGATTTAATGGACAGAAACATGAGTAATGTAAGCTACTACACACCATGATCTAACTGGTTTTTTTAGTTCTTTTTATATTAATGTATTATTTTATGACTGATTTTGTTGAATTTTTTTTCTCCAGTCTCGAAGGATTCAACCACGGAGGAAGTAGATATCCCCATAATAGTTGCCACGACATTTGATTCGAGATCATCAACCGTACTTTTGCGGCCATTTATTCTCTTTACAACTGCAATGAATTGTTGTAAATATTTTTATATCAAGAATACTCTAATGTGTTTTTGCACAAAAAGTATGCTGTACATTTTGGTAAAGCTTTGATCAAAGAGACATTCATGTGGCTTAACCGGATACCATTACAGGGCAAGCAACCCATAGTGTTCAACAGAAATTTGTTTGATTCTAAGGATTCGCCATCTAGATGAAAAAGATATTTTGTTGTGTGGAAAGTAAAAAAGTGCCGATAAGATAATCTTCTGTTAATTGAATCGATCATGATTGATTCATTTTGAGATTCCTTTTGATCAGATAACTTTGTTATGAGAACTCATCAATTTTCTGCCTTGTTGCGTCAATCCCATGTTGCAAATTCTACGTTGTGAATGGAAACTCTTCGAATTTGCTATTTGATTCGAGACGCGTAGTGCAGTTTCGCACCATGATGATGGTAATTGTTCCCAAGTGTAAACCGAACTCACTCTGCTTCGAGGACCAAGGCATCCTCTTAAGCCCACTTTATTGGCTGCCTTTGGGCCTAAGTCCTTGATGGATTGAGGAATTTTAGTGGGCTCTATACGGCGAGGCGGTTAAGTGATTCCGCCGTCGACGTGCGTCTTCGACTCCATCCCTGTGGCGGACAAGTTATAAGATGATCGGGCGCTCTCTTTTTCTTCTTCTTTAGGTCCTTTTCCCTCGATCGATGGTGAGGTCGCCGAAGCCAACGCCGGAGGACGACGTCCACCACCGGGCGGCCCCGGCCGCGGCAGGGAGACGGAAGGGTACTGTCAACCGGGCGTGGCTGGTTTTGTCGGACTCCGGACGGTCGTACCACGAGGAGGTGGGGAAGCACTCCATCATGCGGCGTACGGGGCTCCCCGCCCGCGACCTGCGGGTCCTCGATCCTTTGCTCTCCTACCCGTCTACGATACTCGGACGGGAGCGGGCCATCGTCATCAACCTGGAGCACATCAAGGCCGTCATCACCGCCACCGAGGTGCTCATCCCCAACTCAAGTGACCCCTTGGTCGCCCCTTTCGTCCAGGACCTTCAATCCAGGGTCTCCAGTTCCTACGGCGCCCCTCAGCAGGAGGTGATTGCGTTCTTCCCTTCTTTCAATACCATTATGTTGTTCCTGTTTGCTTTTTTGTTACCACTCTCGCGGGAAGATTTCGTTCCTTTTAGCAGTAATTTTAACAGCGAGATTCCTGTTTTCTATTAGTTCGCCACAGTGATCGTTGAGATTTCTCATTGAACTATTGGATCCAGTTTTTTATCAATTGCTTTGGTTCATGTAGCGCATAAACTTGGAAAAGTTATATGTTTCTGATGCTTGCTGACTGTTCAATTATAAGTACCTTTAGCTACATCTAGCTCTTTGATTTTGATTCTATTTGATCGATGTCTATGTTAAAACATAAATCTGACTTAGATTGTTGTTATTCCTAAAGGCTCAAGACACTGGCGATTTAGATGGGGAGGTTATGGGAAAGTCTACATCATGCTGGCCTTCCTTTCCTGGTCAGGAAATGAGACATGGATCTGGAGTATCTAAAGAGCATGGTTCCTTATCTGGTGATGTGTCACAAGGCAGCCCAAGTCCTGAATTAGATGTCACCAATGATGGGAGTACCAAGGTGGCACCTTTTGAGTTCAGAGTTCTTGAAGTCTGTCTTGAGTCTGCTTGCAGGTGCCTTGAGTCCGAGGTGTGTTTTCTGCACTGAAGTGCTTGGAGCTTTCGTGTTCTGTTATCTTCTTTTAAAATTTATATCATGTCAACTGAGGATAAAATGAGGGAGAATCATCCAAGATGGTTTAAACATATTAAAAAGGAAACTTAAGATGTTGTTCTTAGACGAGTTGATTTGATTAGTTTTAGTAGTGTGAAGAGAAGTGAAGGAGATCTAAGAAGATTTTACTAGAAACAATAAAAATATTATTTAGGTGATTTTGTTTTAACTAGAAACTTAATATTGTACATATCTCAATGGTGGAAGAAGATCCATGCAGTTGATCCCGAATAGTTGGGGCATCAGCCTTATTTAATCTTATGCGCATTGCGCCTTGTTATTTTGTCACTTCTCCTGTATCTTTCCCACCTTCTGTTTGTAGTTGTTCTTGTCTCCCTGTAGATACCTGTTGTCCCAACCAATTGAACTAGAATAACTGCAACCTAGCTCACTTTACTTTGGAACTATTTGCTACCTATCCACTTTTTTTATAATGCTATTTATGGTGTCTGGCTCTTTTTTAATGCTTGAGCCATTTCTCTCATATCCATTTTTAAAAAAATTCACCTAATATTGATTTTAATATTGTTATAATCTTTGGGCTTTTCATGTATCATTCTACTTTTTTTTTTTTCTTTTCTTTCGGACACAGTTTGTCAAATTTAAGGGTATATCTTTGCCTTTTATTGGAGCAAATCACATATAAGGACCTTTCTGTTCATGTATCGCATACCAGTTTATTCTCTAGGATAATAGACCATGCGCACACAATATTTTAATGCCTATAGTTAAAGTGATTCAGTTACTTCTACTAGCAAACTTTATGAGAGGAAAGCATTTTCTGCCATTGATAGTGAGTCCAGTATAAAAGTGATGTAAACTACCTTGTATGTTCATGTTCACAAATTCGCTTTTACTGCTGATGAGATGCATTTTTTTCTTTTTCTTATCTTTTCTTTTATTTTTGATGTTCAGACACTAGCCCTAGAACAAGAGGCATATCCAGCTTTGGATGAATTGACTTCGAAAATAAGCACACTTAACCTTGAGCGTGTAAGACAAATCAAGTCTCGCTTGGTGGCAATATCTGGGCGCGTCCAGAGGGTAAAGACCTGATTACTCAAAGCTGAAATGTATAGTGGCGTATGTACATTTATTAAAGCTACTCTGTTACTCATCCAGTTTATTATTTCTATACTATACATCTATTCTACTTTAAGTTTGTAAACCTCCTGAAACATGTATCATCCATCTCTGAAGATTGCCAGATTTGACTTAAGACCATCCCTCATTGTTGTCCTGTGCATGACAAGAAATTTGTTTCCTTCACCAGTGTGTCGGGGAGGCATTTCTCTTTTTCCCAGTGAAAGAGTGTGAAGTAGCAGTTACTCAAAATCTTGGGATATCTTTCTTTGGTTTACTGACACATTCTAGAATAAAAAATTACCATAATTAAAATTCTTCTCTTTTTTTTTTGGTGAATATCTTGACATGTTTAGATTCAAATCCAATTAAGTTGACTATGTGCATATCATGTCATGTTATGGTGTAGCTCACTTGGTCCCCTAGACAGCACTTGTGTCATGTTATAGTGTTGTCCTCAGTGTCACTACATGATCACAGGTGAGGGATGAACTTGAACATTTACTGGATGATGACATGGACATGGCTGAGATGTACCTAACAGATAAGCTTGCTAGTCAGCGAGTTGGTGAATCTTCATCTAGAATTAACTTGGATAATGATGCATCTGAGCAGGCGGATGATGGGTAAGCTATTGTTGGTTTAATAAATAGTGAAAGAGAATCAACTATATTTCATTGCTATTTGCCTTCTACGTGCACACTAATCAGATAACTTCGATAGAAGTTGATAACATGGCACTCTTTTTTCTTCTGCACAATTATACACTTTAAAGTAGCTGTGTAGTTTCTGATGAATGGTGTATCATTGCCCTTGTTTTCTTCTGCATTGTTGCATGCATCAAAGTAGCTGTATGGTTTCTGATGCATGGTGCAATGCATATTAGTAAATTAAGGGTCATCCTAGTCACATTAGTTATGCTTCAAATCTTGTGTTAGCTTTCACAGCAAGGTCCGCAATACCGTACCGTACCAGAGTTTCGATCTGGGCTCGGTACCGGTACGGTACGGTATACCGAGCGGTACACCCAGGTGTACCGCTCGGTATATGTAGGCATGCCGAGCACTGTAGCGCAGTGCTACAGTGCTACAGTGTCGGATCGGTAACATATGGTCCGCGTACCGGAAGCCTGTTGGACCGGTACATACCGCCCGTACCGGGCGGTACGGTCCGGTACTGCAGACCATGTTTCACAGCATTTTATTTTTTCAAACGGAACTTGTGAATCACATACAAATAGTTTACTTGGAGGAATGGTAACTTCTGAAGCATTTATGACTAGGCTTTTAATTATCCTGCTTCCATGGCTTATGATCACCACAATGACTTCTGATTACCACATTGGTTATAATATCATGATTATATTTTGACATGTTAAGAAGCTTTATATAACTGGCTGGTCTTATTGATGCCACTTGCTCTAACAATGAGCTCTAACAAGCAACAACTACTGCTTGCATCATAATGAGGTCCTATAAATAAAAAAGATCACAAGATGTTGAATCCTTAACTGAGATTTAAGACATAGCTGAGATAAATCAATCCGAAGAATATGGGAATTTAGATGATAAGTTACATTATTGTGCTATTTCACAGGACCTGATCATTTATAAAAGCTGGTTGTGATTTATATAGAACCGCAAAAGGGTGAGAGAGAGTTTTATAGTATGGATTCTTGAGTTTCTCACTTTTTTTCAATATTATAGTATGGATTCTATGTGGTGTAAAATGAAAGAAAAAGAGTATTATTTATGTCGTTTAAAGTCTTGGTCTGGTACCAATGCTGGTTGGTGATTGGACCAGTGCAGTATTGGTATCAGACGACATATCGACACTCTAAACAGGTTGGGCAATGGAACATGATAGTATGAGAAGGCAACACAGACGAGGAGGTGGTAATCACACAGACAACGACGAGAAGGTGTGGGAGGAGAGAGAGAGAGAGAGAGAGAGAGAGAGGGAGAAGACCAAAAAAAGATAAAGTTGTTCAGCTTTTAAACTGAAAAAAATTGAGAAATACAGTTTTTCATTCAGTTCATTTTTGTGTATTTTTTAAACTGAAATGAAGCATATGCCATTTTGCATATATTACATTTATTTTTTTGCATTAATAAATAGTTATAATTTGGCCTTTGTATAGGGCTTTGGTCGAAAGCACTGAGAGTTTAGTCAAAATGCATTTGGTCCAAATTGTATTAGAAACCAGATTGTGAACACTCTGATTTCATTCAAATTGGTTTATATGGTGAAACAAATTGTTCT